ACCACTTACTGGAAGGTAGGACGTGTGGAGAAGTGAATCCAAGGGTATAAACAGGAAGATAGACCACAGGGGAAGGGGCCAGCTCCCAGCAAGTGGTGGAGTAGTGAGCACAAATTTAGAACTTTTAGAAGTCTGCTCCACTGAGGGATGTTGCTCCAGTGGCTAAGCGGGGAATAGAACATTTGTGGGGACAGTGTGATGTCAGGTCCCTCAGGGTCAGAGAAAGACCAGGGGTCCCTGAGTGCAGCAGAGTTCCCAGGTATCAGAGCCACATGCAGAAGATGAAGCTGGAGGCTTCTGGAGAAATTTGGACACAAACATGTATGTGTACAGGGAGAATTCCATGTGAATATGAAGATGGCTATCTGCAACGCAAGGAGAGTGGTCTGGAACAAATCTTCCTCCATAGCCTTCAGATGGAACTAATCCTGACAACATGCTGATTTCAGGTGTCCAGCCTCCAAAACTGTGAGAAATTTCTGTTGTTTAAGCCACTCAGCCTGGGTATTTTGTTACAGCAGCCCTAGCAAAACAATATACAAGTTTTTATTTGAACAAATGAGTTATCTAGATCTCTAAGAAGATATAAATGCATACTGCATAAAATATTAACATCTATTTATTATATTATTAATATAGCAAATTGTATATGTACAAATGTTATCCCCTTAAATTCCTCTTACGCCAATATGTAGCCCTTTAATCAAAACCATTTGGGGACCTAATGTTAGTGTTATCATTGGCATTGAATACACTTCTTTGCTGCCTCTTGGGTCATAGAACAAGACTCAAACACAAGCACAAATGTGGACATGTGCTCAAAACTGACCAATCATATTATTGCCTGAACCTAGCCATCACAGTCCATCTGGTTATGAAATGTATTTAAAAGTAAATGCCTCCAATAAAAGGCTTCCATATTGGCAAAGAAGAATTCAAACTCACTCTTTGCAGATGATATGGTACTTTATGTGGAAAACCCAAAAGACTCCACTCCAAAACTGCTAGAACTCACATGGGAATTCAGTAAAGTGTCAGGATATAAAATTAATGCACAGAAATCAGTTGCATTTTTATACACCAACAGCAAGACAGAAGAAAGAGAAATTAAGGAGCCATTTACAACTGCCTAGGAATAAACCTAAGATACCTACGAATAAACCTAACCAAAGAGGCAAAGAATCTATACTCAGAAAAACTACAGAATACTCATGAAAGAAATTGAGAAAGACACAAAGAAATGGAAAAACGTTCCATGCTCATGGATTGGAAGAACAAATATTGTGAAAATGTCTATGCTACATACAGCAATCTACACATTTTAAGGCAATCCCTATTAAAACACCATCAATTTTTTCCAAAGAAATGGAACGAATAATCCTAAAATTTATATGGAACCAGAAACCTGAATAGCCAGAGGAATATTGAAAAAGAAAGCCAAAGTTGGTGGCATCACAATTCCAGACTTCAAGCTCTATTACAAAGCTGCAGTCATCAAGACAGTATGGTACTGGCACAAAAACAGACACATAGATCAATGGAACAGAATAGAAAGCCCAGGAATAGACCCTCAACTCTGGTCAACTAACCTTTGACAAAGCAGGAAAGAATGTCCAATAGAAAAAAGACAGTCTCTTCAACAAATGGTATCGGGAAAATTGGACAGCCACATGCAGAAGATGAAGCTGGGCCATTTCCTTACACCACACATGAAAATAGACTCAAAATGGATGAAGGACCTCAATGTGAAAAAGGAATCCATCCAAATCCTTGAGGAGAACACAGGCAGCAACCTCTTCGACCTCAGCCACAGCAACTTCTTCCTAGAAACATCGGCAAAGGCAAGGGAAGCAAGAGCAAGAATGAACTATTGGGACTTCATCAAGATCAAAAGCTTTTGTGCAGCAAAGGAAACAGTCAACAAAACCAAAAGACAACTGACAGAATGGGAGAAGATATTCACAAATGACATATCAGATAAAGGGCTAGTATCCAAAATCTATGAAGAACTTATCAAACTCAACACCCAAAGAACAAAGAATCCAATCAAGAAATGGGCAGAAGACATGGACAGATATTTCTGCAAAGAAGACATCCAGATGGCCAACAGACACATGAAAAAGTGCTCCACATCCTCTCCAACATCTGTCATCTCCTGACTTGTCAATTTTAGCCATTCTGACTGGTGTGAGGTGGTATCTCATTGTGGTTTTGATTTGTATTTCCCTGATGCCGAGTGATGTGGAGACAGGGGAACCCCCCCTACGCTGTTAGTGGGAATGCAAGCTGGTGCAGCCACTCTGGGAAACAGCATGGAGGTTCCTCAAAAAGTTGAAAATAGAGTTACCCTATGACCCAGCAATCACACTACTGGGTTTTACTCTAAAGATACAAATGTAGTGATCTGAAGGGGCACCTGCACTTGAATGTTTATAGCAGCAATGTCCACAATAGCCAAACTATGGAAAGAACCTAGATGTCTATCAACAGAGGAATGGATAAAGATGTCGTGTATATATATAATGGAATACTATGCAGCCATCACAAGAAATGAAATCTTGCCATTTGCAATGACGTGGATGGAACTAAGTCAATCAGAGAAAGATAATTATCATATGATCTCCCTGATATGAGGAATTTGAGAGACAGAATTGGGGGCTTGGGGGGTAGGGAAGGAATAAATGAAACAAGATGGGATCAGGAGGTAGACAAACCATAAGAGACTCTTA